TTTTTTTTTTAAATCTTCAAGAGTAGGGGTTTTGCCAAGCTGTGTACCACTTAAAATTCTTACAGAGCTTAAATAAACCAACTGTAGGAGAGCTCACGGTGAACACTGCCATTATCATGCACAAAAGACATCTCAGAAAGGGCTGCTCTGAACCAAGGAATACCACCACCCCAGGAATACCACCCCACCCTGTGGACAGGTTCACACAGCGAGCTGCAAAAGCTGACAAACACAAAGCTCTGTGGTTTGAGAGGACAGGTGAGCTGATGGATCTCAAGATGACAAATCTCAGGGTGTTCAGCACTGGTCGGGAGGAATAAGGAGAGTGCTCTAAACTGTTAAGAGAAATTATCCATAACTTAGGAATAGGTAGGGGCACCTGGATGGCTCAGCCAGTTAAGCATCCTACTCTTGATTTCAATTCAGGTCATGATCTCATGGTTTGTGGGTTTGAGCCCGCATTGGGCTCTGTGCTGACAGGGTGCAGCCTGCTTGCACTTTTCTCTCCCTCTCTCTCTCCTCACCCCTGCTCATGCTTTCTCAAAAAATAAACATTAAAAAAAGAGAGAAATAGGCAAAAGGACTATATATCTTTTCAATGTCATTGTGGGGCAGAGTTGAACAGTTAAGCATTATTTAATTCTCTCGGGAAAAATTAAATACCTCTGTTTTACAATTTACTATTGATTAGAGTCCTGACTTTGCAAAGCTACGTGCTAACTAGTAGCTGCATGTATAAATAGGTATATGCGTGTATGTGAAGTCCAGTACAGAACCACCAAAGTTACAGTTTTATTGCCCTGGAAGACACTAACCAGCTTCACCTCTTATTGTAGCAAAGGTACTTCAATATGTCTTTTCCAACTAAAGACACAAATCTCAAGTGGTCCTCTGAACCACTCTTTTGGTTCTTTTGTTAATGGGTTAAATAAACCTTTGACATGTGATAAAAATTATACTTTGACAGAATCAAAAAGTGAGAGAAGGTATCCAACTCCTACAATGAGGTAGGACTGGAGAGGGAAGACGGATGTGAAAGTACTTTGCGCGTTATTCACAGGATGCAAAAATCAGGATTTATTGTTGTGATTCATCAGATTAGGCTATTCCAGGGCAAGCAGGTCCTGGGCTTCTGAGGGCAGCATTCTCCAGGGCCTGGGACATAGGTCAGGGAAAAAGGCAGCTAGAGCAGCCCTAATGCTAGCCTCCATGCTGACACTGCATTCTAGGCTTGTGATGAGGTTAGGATCTCCTATGGGTCTCAGGTCCAAGAGGATGGAGACCATTCGGGACACCCAGAGAAGTCTGCCCAAGGGCATGGAGAAGCTGGAGGACATCTGACCAGAAATCAGGGTAGGAATATTCTAAAGAAGGCACAAGAGTCCTCATCCAACACCAGGTTCCTAAGGAGTACAGCCTCTACAGCCTGAGGTTCTTTCAGGACCTCAGTATTTGATTCTGTAGGTGGGAAAGTGCTCAGGTCAGTTGACAGCACAATAGGATCTCTGTGCTTGCCATCTGCACACGTGCATGGCTTCACACATAGAATGATGTCAGTCAGGGGTCCAATGAGCAATGCAGGTAGCCAAGGTCAGGAACAGCCAACCCTGCACAGAGGAGGTGGAAACAGAGCCAAAAGAAGGGTGAGGGGTGGAGAGGAAAGGCATTCCAGGCCCAGAGAATGGCAGGAGCAGAGGCTAGAGGAGAATGAACCTGCAGAAGGTGGAGGAGGGATACAACTGAGGGAGATGTGACAGTGAGACCCGGCCAGGACTGGGCTCCTACCTTGAGTAACCTACAGTCATGGAAGTTAATAATCCACTGCCCGAAGGGTGATGGTAAATAAGTGGGCAAGGGGCTTGCAAATGAGCTCTCCCCTGCCAGTCCACATCCTGTAAGGGGGTGTGGGGAACCCTACCACCCCTCCACATCTCACTCCAGGTGTAACTCAGTTATTGTCTCTGCAAGCCATCCCAGACTCGCCTCCTCCCCAAATGCCTCCATCCACAGCTGTTCCACCTTAAAGGCTGGGCTCTCAGAGCCTCTTGCCACCTGCCCCAGCTTTCCCCATCTCCTCTTCTGAGCTCTGTCTGCACCTTCTGAGCCTCCCCTGCAGCAGCTAATTATCCTGCCTGTCTTCTCCATACACTTTGTATACGATCCTCCTTCCTGGAGTTACCTATCTTTCCTCTCCTTATTTTCCCTTTGCCCGGATTTCTTCAATATTTTGTTTTATTCCATTGTGAAGGTTTTTGTTTTGCCTGTTGCCTTTAGCCCTCGTGGATCAAGACAAGTGTGTGTAAACCTTTTGCTGTCTTGGATTAGACTCTAGGGCTTTGTGGACCCCTGTGGCAACTACAGCTACATTAAGCCTAACACTGCTGGGCACACAGTGGGTGCCTAATTTTTGCCTACTGACTGGCAGTTCGATTAACATCACCTAACTCACTCCTAGCCATTCTCAATTATTGGCCCATTCACATACAAGCCTGAATTACTGAAATCCTACCCCCTCACTGGCATTGTGACCCACCATCTCTCAGCAGAGCCCAAGTAATTTGAGGGCTCAGACCCTGGCGTCGCCCTAACTCTTTGAATTTCTTGGACATGTTCATATCACCAGAATGCCCAAGACCTGGATGTCTCAACCAGGGAGACAGAAGTTCCACACAGCTCCAAAGGCCGGCTTTATAGACTCTGCCATGGCTCAGCGAAGACTCCGGGATATCCCCTCCTAAGACCAGCCCAGGGTCACAGTTCTGGTGTCGTTGAAGCCACAGGCCCCGGGGCGCCAGGAGGCAGCCTAAGAAGAAAGGTCTGCAAGGAGCCGGGCCTTGGGAAACCGGCCTTCTCCCTGAGCAACCTCCAGGTGCCACCCTCGATGGCATAGAGCAGCGTAAACATGCGGTTGACCGTATAGACTGTATCGCCGCGCACCACCGCTGTGAAGAGAGCTCCCTTGCTGTTGACAAACTGGCCAGGCAGCGCCGTCCACTGACCCGTGGCCAAGTTGAAGCAGTCGATGGCGCAGTGTAGGAAGTCGTCGGAAGGTCCATTGCGCACCACATAGAGGCTGTCGCGGTGGGCCACCATGCAGTGGCCGTAGCTCTGCGGGCGCCGCAGCTCAGCCACCGGCAGCCACGTGTCGGCCCGCACAGTGTACTCCACTATGGCCGTGGTGTCAGCCGGCCTCCATAGACACACGAAGAGGCGGCCACACGCCTGGGCGCAGGGCACGCCGGCAGCCGGCTGCGGCAGGTCAGCTACGAAGCTCCAGCAACCCGCAGCGGGGTCGTAGCGCTCCACAGAGCTCATGGGCATCCTCTGGAACTCGCCGCCTATGGCGTAGAGGCGGCCATCGAAGCCAGCCAGCGCCGTGTCGTAGCGCGGCTGGTGCGGGCTGGGGAATTCGCGCCACGTGCCGCTGGCCGGGTCATAGCAGAAGCCCAGTTCCACCACCTCCTTGCTGGCGCCCCTCACGCCACCCACGATATACAGCTTGTTGCCCAGCGTGGCTACACCCGCCAGCAGCGTGCTGGCCTCCAGGGGCAGCGCGGCCAGCGTGCGCCACGCGTCTTCCTCCTCGTCCAGGTAGCACAGCGTGCGCGACGCGTCCTCCAGGAAGCCGGGCGCCGGCGTGTGCGTGCTCACGGCCACGTAGCTGCTGGGCCGCAGCGCCGCTACGTAGGCGCGCGCCTCGGGCAGCGCCAGCTCGGCCGCCAGGTCGTGCGCGCCGTCGCGGATGAAGAGCGCGGCGCTGTGGAATACGTCGTGCAGGCCGAAGACGGCGGCCGCGTCGCACAGCAGCGCGCAGTTGTCCGACGTGAGGCTGTGCTCCAGAAAGCGCGCCAGCGCTGGCGCCTGCAGGAAGGCGGCGCACTCCACGGCCTGCAGCAGCTCGTCGGCGGCCGCCAGCGCCGGCCGCTCGCCGCGCAGCACCTGCAGCATGGTGTGGAAGCCGCCAGCGCTCAGCGCGCCCAGGCGCACCTCGGCCGCGCGCGTCTCCCGCATGCCGGAGCGGAAAAGGCCACGGAAGAAGCCGCAGTGCTCCACCAGCAGGGCCCGCTCGGCCTGGAAGAGCTGGCCGCCCACCCACACTTGAACCGGGGGGGCCTCTGGGGCCCGCGGCATGGCGAACCGGTCGGGCGGGGGGCCGCCGCGGGGGCCTGGATTCAGCGGCCACCGACTCTGGGGCTCCCCCAGAGCGGAAAAAAACTTCCCAGGGGATATAAATATCTCCCTGGCTAAAGATAGTATGGCTCATGTGATGTGGTGGCCGGCAGGCTGGATGGCTGCGGGCCGGAGGGCATCTGGGAGTCCTGCAGGGTCACTCACTTCCGTGTGGGAAATAGAAACAATAGTGACTACATATGGAGCACCTAATGCATGCAGGGCACTGTGAGAGCTGCTTACAAAGATACCCCCTTTTAACCTGTACTAAAGCGACTGTATGCTCCTGTGCAAGTACCCCAACTCGGCCTTGTTTCCTCAGAGTGTGACCAATAAGAACATCTACCAATTGGGATAATATCTGTAAGATGTTTAAAATGAGGCTGAGAGAATTTACATGACTTGTTCAAGGTCATTCAGCTGGGAAGAAGCAAGGACAGGATTAACATCTAGCCCACCCCACTGGGTTGGTGGGTAGCTAAGTTTCTTGGACGCTGGAGGGAGAGGCAGCAGAGATAAAGCAAACAGAGTGGACTGGACTGGGGTCGGGAGCAGGTTCTAATTTAGCCTGAACCTCTGCCCCTGGCTCTGGGCTGGTTCAGTCTCCTTTTCAGCCTTGATTTCATTCTCTGTAAAAAATGGGAGGGTAGCAGTTGAGCGTCCTTCAAACCTCAATGTGGAAGTACTCCTTGACTTGAGCTAGGAATAGGAAGCTGATGTCTGCTCCCCACTCGTCCCTCCGTTGCTGTGTAGCTCTGGACCTTGGGAAAAGGTAAGTGGGGCTGATGAGAGGATCGTAAGTATATAGATGGGAAGGGGAAGGGTTCTTGAAATAATATTAGTTAACACTTAATTTGCATGGTATGTCAGGCACTTTGGTAAGCCATTCGACTCCTGTCATTCCTGCAGTAATCCTATGAATAGATACTCTCATTTTTCCTCATTTAATAGATGTTACCCATGTATTGCTCACAGAAACACTATGAGTCTCTATTTCATGGATGAAGAGACTATGGCACCAAGAGTTTAGTCACATGCCCAAGGTCACATGGCAAGAGAGTGGCAGAGCTAGGACTGGCTTGCAAACAATCTGACCATAGAGAGTGTTCCCCTGACTACTGTGCTCTGCTGCCTTTCTGTGCTACAAATGCTGGGTATTCACCTCTTGACAGGAGGTCACAATTGGAAGAAACTTCAGGCTCCTGTGGTTTAACCCCTTCATTTACAGTGGAGGACCAAAAAGGGAATTGGCCTGGGTCCTGTAGCTTGGAGCGGACAGCCCTAAGCCTCCTGCTGCTCACTGCAGGGCATTTTCCCCACTGCAAGAAACTTCCTTGAGTGACCAGCTAAGACTTTGGGTTCCAAAATGTCAGGTGGAAGAGAGCTTAGAGACTATTTTCTTCTGCCACCTTACTTTACAGGTGGGGAAACTGAGGCCCAGACCTGTGTAGGATAGTATCTGCCATTCAGGGCATGTTCAACTCCAGGCTTTCTTTAGGAAGATGGAGTGGCTCACAGTGACAAAGCCAGAGTTGGGAGGGGGCAGGGGAACTTCTCTCACCGCTAGGACACACACACATGCACAGATCCTCACGTATGAATCTGCAGGTCAATGCAAATGTGCCTCTTCTGCCAGGGAACTCCCACCCAGTTCACTCAATCAAAGCAGGGCAGGGATATGGGGACCACTTGTGTGAGCCTGGGAAGCCAAAGGCCTGGAGGAGGCAGCCAGAAATAATCCAGGACGCTCTGCCCCAGGGACCAGACAGGAAGAGTAGGAGGAGATAGAGGGGGTGGGCAGGAGTCCTCACAAATACTATCCCAGGCCCTCTGCCAGCCTCCCTCCTTCCCTGAAGCCAGACATTGGCTGAAAGCCTGACAGTCGCCCTCCTGGAGGAAAGTGGACTCGGCGGTGCCCAGTCCTGATTCTGTCCTTGCTGGTGGCCTCAGGGGTGGGGAGAAGGTATCCAACTGTTCCCATTTCACAGATGAGGAGAGGAAGGCCTATAGATGGCTTGGGCTTTTCCTTGTTATGAACGGAGATGTGGGACAGGGTTGAATCCTGTCCACTGACCCCAGGCCCCAGCCCAGTACTAGCCTTTTCTTAGAGGAGGGAAACAGCTGCCTCCTGCCAGGCCCAACCTAAGGGACAGGGGGACACAGTTCTCCCAAATGGCCTATTCCAGGCACCTGGTAACTGGCAGATAGAGACACTGGGTGGCCCTCTCCTGAGAGGAGTGAAAGGAGAGCAACTCTTCCTGGCTGAAGCTGGCTCCCAGTCCCAGTTTTTCACTAGTCCTGCTCTGGCTTCAGTGGGTTGGGGCACTGTGTACACACCCAGCTCTGGCTTCAGCAGCCAGGCAGTGGGGACGGGGTCACCCAAGGGGGGGTTCATGGCTCTAAGACTGGCCTGAGGATCAGCCATTTGGCCCTCCTCCCAAGGCCCCAGTGGGGTGTTGTCTGCAGCTGGTGAGAGTTTCCTCTACCAGACAGTGAGCATCCCTCTGGGACTCGGAGAGGACGAGGAACTATCCTGGCTGTAGGCAGCCCACAGAGTTCCCAGGCCCTGCCCGACCTCACACCAACCTCTCTCTCCACTTTGCACCCCCATACTGTGTGAGGTTCAGGGTGGGGGCAAGGAAAGGGGGAATCTGTCTGTGTCAGACTCTGAGCCTTTCTAGAGCACTCACCTAGCCTTGTTCATCTCTCTATCCACAATACCTGGCACGAGGTCTGTTAAGTGGACTCCTGGGCCCTAAACCAAGTGGGAGTCCCCAGTGTGATGGAAGAGACACAACCCCATTCCCCAAAGTGCCTGCAGTCTCATAAAGGAGACATAGCCACAAGATGCCCTGAGCCTGATGGTGGATCCCTGGCCTTGCCACCCATGGCAGTGTTTCTGCACACAGGGTAGCGAAGTGCTTGCCTGGGCCTGAGGAAGAGCAGTGGACTAGGAGGCAGGATTCTTGCCAGGTTCTAATGCCAGTACCACCACTGACTTGCAAAAGCTACCCAATCTCTCTGGGCCTTAGTTCTTCATCTGTGAAATGGAGCTTGGATCTGACTTCTAAGGTTCTGTTTAGCTTTGACATCTGAATTTATCACTGAACGACCACAGAAGTGTTTGTCATATTGTGCTTCCAGGGAATACAGTGACGTCACAAAGGGGTCCCAAAAGCTTAGTTTTATGTGGAATGGCTCCTGGGAGGTGAGTGGCAAGGGTAGGACCTGGCATCTGGAAATCTTCACAGTCCCTACCTGTCTAGACCTGTACATGTCCTACTCATTCTCTCCAGAGACATCTATCGAACACATGCTCCAGGTCCACTGCTGGGCAGGGTCATTTTGAGCACTTGAGGGCCCCTTATAGGAGCCTCAAAGATTGGGTGTAGGGGATAAGGAGGGTCGGACTACTTTGCCCTGGCAGAATAACCTGTCTCTTGACTTTCAGTGTCCGAACTTCTGTTTGCTAAACAGTTGTGGCTTCTTGGTAGATGGGTGAGAAGTATGTGCTATTCATGTCAGGGGAGTGGAGAAAACTATCTTTTGCTTTTGTGGGCCATGGGCCAAGCTCTGGGTTGGGACACTTTCATGTTATCTCATCTAATCCTTAATATTATCCCTATTTTAAAGATGAGAAACTGAAGCCCGGGAGGGCAAAGTAGTTGATTCCATGGTCTGACAGTAAATGGCTCATTCCAAAGGCCTTTCCAGTCCAGAAGTGCAGCTGGCACTTCTGGGTGGACAAGCAGCCTACAGATGAGGAGACTGAGGATGGGGAAAGGGGCTGGTTGCAGTTGTGAGGCTGGCACTTTTATTCCCAAGCCTCATACCAGAGGCAGACTTTGGGCACTTAGCAGTCACAGCTGAGGGCTGAGTAACCAGCTGGCAACTTGTTCAAATAGTCTCTGACCTAGATGAGAGTTAAGGGTCATCTCATCCCATCTTGCAAGTCATGATGGAGTTTCCTTACAACACCTCCTGGAAGTGGTCACCCCCTTGGTTGCCTTCAATATTGGGGGGCTCACTTCCTCTAAGACAGCCCCTTCTAACTACAGCTCAGATGGTTAGCGTTCACACACCAACCTGGAACCTGCCTCCTTACAGTGCCCATCTACTGGTTGGTCTGCATTTTAAAGGAAAGTAACTTGCCCAGCATCACAGACAGGGACCTAACAGAGCCCAGGTTTACACCCAGTTGGATCTGCAGGGGTCCACAGCTTACCCTCCAGCAGTTCGCCAATGAGATTGGTTCTCTTCCCATAGACCCTTCCAGAACCAGTCTGTCCTCTCAAGACTGGGGCCAGCCCAGGGAAGTGGCTGGAACTTGGCTCCCACTTTTTCTCCACCTACAACTCAAAGGAAAACCCTTGGGCATTAGCTCTGTGAGTGATTTTGGCCCGAGGGTGTAATCTAAACAAATTTTTCCCAACACCTTTCAGTCTTAACACAGCTGGTTTACCATTATCTCCTACAAATACAATTAGGCTGAGTCAGTATTCATGTCCTATTCTGGGAAAGAATTTTCCTTCCTGGTTGAGAAGTTATTACCATCAGGCTCTGACCCCAGACTGCCTTCTGATCTGGCTTTCCATGATTTCTTTTTCACATGGGTGGGTAGATTAACTGGGGGAAAGAGAGGGAATTGGGGATGTGGGGTTGGAGGGAGAAGGGCGGCAGTGAGAGGTCTCAGACTCCTATGCCCTTTCCCACTCTAGCCTGGAGTATATTTCACAAGAGAGGCTCCACCTGGTTCTAGAAAGTACTCAGACCTAGAACGGAGGGCTGATGCTGTCACTCTCAGGCTTGAATCACATAATGGGATTTTGGATTTATTTTCCCCTTTCTTTAGTATATAGATGGGAACACCAATGCTCATAGAAGTGAGGTGACTTGCCCAAGGTCACCTAGTGAAAGAGCTGGCATTAGATTCCCTATGTAGGCCCTTTGCTCTGTCTCCATCATGATCAGATTTATCCTGGGTCCCAAAAGAAATGTCAGGTGACCCCTACCAGGCTCATCCATCAATCCTAGAATCATTATAGGCATGAGAGGGTGCCAGGTTTTAGGATAAGTAAAATGCTCCGTTTACACACTAGGCCACAAACACATGCAACTCATTAACTCCCATCAGGAGTTAATGTAATCCACAGTAATCCAGGATGGGTTAGGTTTCTTGAAGCTGGATACATATTGACCATGAAATGTTAGTAAAGTCTCTTCCCCTTCTCAGGAGTCAGGGTTCTGCCTGGAGTTTACAGTGATGCCTGAGAGTCCCCACACCGAAAGGCAGGGTAATGTAGTTGGGGAAGTTGTGTGCCAAGGCTGAGCTGGCTGTGACTGTGACCTAGAGAAAGGGCAAGGCTAGGAATTGAACCGGGCAGGCTTCCCGGAGGAGGAGGCGGGGCCAGCTGCGTAGAACAAAGGAAGGAGTGGATTTTTTTGCAGGTGGAAAGAGATTGCACGGAGGTTCAGACTAGGCTGGAAACATCCCTCCCCTCACTCCGCCTACCCCAGCCTCTCTCTCTCTCCGGTCCTGGGCCTTGCCTGCAGGGTCCGGGGGAGCTCCAAGTGGCGACAGCGCTGTCTTCCAGGCGGAGCCTTGCTTTGGGCTGTACGGCCGGCCAGAGCTCCCTCCCAGCGGGGGGCTCCCGCAGCCCTTACAAGGAGTTTGGCGGCTCTCCGGGCGGCCCCGCCCGCTAGCCTCCACGGGCCCCTCCTCCCGCCCGGCTGGGCCGGGCCGCGGGAACGCAGCCCTCTCCGCTCTCGACGCCGGGCCCGGCGCGGACATCGACGGGCCCGAGCCCGCGAGTGTGAAAGGAGCCGGCGACTAGCTCTCTAGGGCCCCAACAGGCGGGCACGCGGCTCGGGGCCCTTCGGCAGGGGACTCGTGACCTTCTCAGCAGGGTCGCCATGTCCTCGGTGTTCGGGAAACCCCGCGTGGGCAGCGGGTCACAGATCGCGCCCCTCGAGGTCAACCTGGCCATCCTGGGACGCCGCGGGGCTGGCAAGTCCGGTGAGTTGGGTAGCGGGAGGGAAGATAAGGAGTTAGGGGAAGACCCGAAAGACCGGGAGCAGGTGTGGACGCTGTGGACTTGGTTGCAGGCAGGCTCTCCCACTGGCTTTGGGGCTTCCTGCGCCCAGGTGGGTTGAGTGAGACACCGCGGTTTCTTCTTTGCCTCAGTTTTTCTGTTTCTTGTTTCTCTACTATGTTCTCAGCTCCTCCATCTCTCATCTGTCTTCTGTTCCTTGCCTGTCTTTCCCTTTGTGTCTCGGACACCAGTTGTCTTTCCTCTCTGCTTGTATCTGTGTCTCAAGGTCCTCTGCTGATCTCTCCCTTGCTGTTCACTGCTTTCCATCTCCTCTCCCTGGGGCGAGCAGTCGGCCCTGGTGACTAGCACTGCAAGGACGTGTTAGGGGCTGATCTCTAGCTCAGGCCCCTAGGAGCTTAGTTACAGCCTTGCTATTCTTCAATTTAGTCTGGGGATGAAGGGAGGTGGTAGAGGTCACTGGCTATTGGGATTTTCCAGGGAGGGGCCACCCCAATTCAATGGATTCTGGAACAAAGTGTGCATTCTTATCAAATGTAATTTTCAAGTTAGACCCCTCTCTTGACTTTCTGGAAACCCCTTAGACTACCATCCCAGGTGTCTGGGCCTTGTTCTTGATGAACCTAGATTTTGGGTTGCCACTGAGATCATTTCTGCCAACACCGAACTCTGGCTTAAACACTCCTGGCAGCTCTCACCCAAGTGAAGCCCAGGTGGGTGGGTGTCCCCGTAGGCAGAGACCCAGAAAAAGGTTTCGTTCCTCTGTCCTGCCACTTCACAGTCCCAGGCAGCTAAAGGTGGGAGGGCTGTTTTCCAGTTACAGCCATTAGTGACTGGCCAACAAGGGCTCAGTTAGCTATGTTTCTTTCCCCAGAGTGTTCTTTGAGACTTGCTGGGATCCTACTCTCCACTTTTGAAACCAGCCCCCTGACTCAGAGAGGGGACTCTGAATCATGTTTTCCTACAGAAAAGATTTGCCCTTTTCCCTTTGAAAATCAAATGGTAGTTCTGTCTTTGGTATAGTTTAGCCAGTGACTACATGAATGAAGGAATTTAAATTTTAAAGTATGTGTATTCCCTGGGTATTAGTTTGCAGAATGACACTGTAAGGAATCTTGGGAAAGAATTTTAAGGATTTACTTTAAAATCTCACATTTCTTTTTAAGAGTCCGGCACAATAGTTGGCTGGCCCTGGGATTTTATGTCACTAAATTCTGAACAAAATCAAAGTTCTATTAATGAAGTACACTTGGGGAGAACTTCATTTTAGGTTTTCCATTCTTTGGGACATCCATGATGAGTGTGGAGGCCCTAGTTGGAGCCAAGACTTGAGATATAGAGGACCAAGGGCTAGAATGTGTTTACTTGAGACATGGGTGTTCATACTCACCCTGGGGATCACAGACTGATCAACTCAGCTCTTAGTCTTTGGTGTATAGCCAAAACTGGAATAAAAGCCCCATATTTCAGAATTTTCATGACTTGACCAGGGTGGGGGATGTCTAGGTAACTGGTTGAGTGGGTCCTGGACCCCTCAGTTTGAGTCTTTAAAAACACCTGTTAGGCTTGCCTCTCATGGTTTTCCTTGCCATAAAAAAAAAAAAAAAAAGCCAGGATGCAACTAGGGGAACATGGTTCCTTATATTTCTGGTTTCTTCTGAGCTTCTTGAACCAACTCCCCAGCTTCTAGACCCATTCCCCCAAAGAGCTGAGCTTAGTGTCAGCCAGGAGTCACAGAGGCTAGATAAGTCCTCCCTAAAATGAGAGGGGCAGGGCGCCTGGGTGGCACAGTCGGTTAAGCGTCCGACTTCAGTCAGGTCACGATCTCGCGGTCCGTGGGTTCGAGCCCCGCGTCGGGCTCTGGGCTGATGGCTTGGACCCTGGAGCCTGTTTCTGATTCTGTGTCTCCCTCTCTCTCTGCCCCTCCCCTGTTCATGCTCTGTCTCTCTCTGTCCCAAAAATAAATAAAAAACGTTGAAAAAAAATTTTTTTTTAAATGAGAGGGGCAACCTCTGGGAACCAGCAGCCAAAGACAGCAGGGGATGACTGAGCCAGCTTCTTTCTGTTTCCTGCAGCTCTGACCGTGAAGTTTCTGACCAGGAGGTTTATCAGCGAATATGACCCCAATTTGGGTAAGGAACCACTCCTCCCCATTCTCCTACTGTGTCCCACTTGGATCCCCCCTACCCCTGTCCCCATGCACCCACCTACACTGTGGTGGGCCCACACCTGACCAGGATTGAACATCTGGGGGCAGAGGGGAGGAACCACCCAGGATGACTCAGCCCGTGGGACAAAATGTTTTAGATGCCAGAAATACATCCTTCCACAGCCCACCCCAGACAATTTGGGGGTTGGCTTAATTAGGAAAACTGAGATAGGCTGATTTGTCCTAAATTATGAGGTATGTTGAGACTTAAAAAAAATCGAACATAACAGAACGTCTGCAACCATTAAGTGTTGGTCTTCAAGATGGCCACTCAGTATACTTTTCCAGAAAAGCTGGACAAAGCATTTGAGAAACTATCTAGTGCTACTGGTTGCTGACCCATTTTTGAACCACACAAGAAAACTCATCTTGTTTTATAGCCATATCATGGTATATTGGAAAAAAGGATGCTCTGGTATCAGTCAGAGCTAAGTTTGAACCCTAGCTCTGCCATTTACTGGCTGTACAGCCTTGAAGCAGTCACCTAATCTCTCTGAGCTTCTGTTTCCTCATCTGAAAAGTGGGCATAAAGATGCCTATCTCAGAAAATAACTGTGAGGATTGAAGAAATGACATATGTTAGCCTAGTATTTGACTCACAGTAGGCACAATGCATATTTGTTTTTCCTGCCCTTTTCCTTAACGTTTACATTTATTTTTAAAAAAAATTTTTTTTAACGTTTATTTTTGAGACAGAGAGAGACAGAGCATGAACAGGGGAGGGGCAGAGAGAGAGGGAGACACAGAATCTGAAACAGGCTCCGGGCTCTGAGCCGTCAGCACAGAGCCCGACGCAGGGCTCGAACTCATGGACCGTGAGATCATGACCTGAGCCGAAGTCGGACGCTTAACCGACCAAGCCACCCAGGCGCCCCATTAACGTTTACATTTATAACATTTGTTTTTTGTAAACTGTTCACTGAAAAAAATGGTGTGTCTGGATACTCTTAGCCTTTTGAAAATGGGGGGTTGCAGTCTTGGATTCTTTTTCACTCATTCCACTGATAAGAATGAAATGAAGCATTTGTGGGACCCTGAGGGCTCTCCAGGGAATCCCAGGGCTGTTGGGCACAGGCTGGAAACCGCAGTACAGCAGGGCGTGCAGCAGGGCCCTGAGGGAATGTGCTGTAACACCTGAAGGAAAGAGCCCCTTAGCCCCTTGGTGCCCTCAGTTCACACTGGAATATTGAATCCCAGTGTCAGAGCAGGAAGGGACCTCAGGGCTATTTAGTCTATTGGGTTCTAGAATTTTTTCCCTAAGTAGCAGAATCCCTTCTTCCAAGGTGATCTTAAATAGAACCCCAAGATGTCAAAGAGAAAGCAGAGGGGGTCCCCTGGTTAAGTCAAGAGTACAGGGCAGGCGACTCACTCATAGTCCCTAAGGGATTTGTTTTCTCAAAGCTTGGTTTGACTACCTGCGCTATGACACAGCCCCTCAGTGGAACGGTGGAAGAATTAGGCCCAGGGAGCTGAGGCTTCTGGGCCAAGGTCACACAGCAGGTCTGAGGGGTCTTTTTCTTTTAATGTTTATTTATTTTGGGAGAGAGAGCAAGCAGGGGAGGAGCAGAGAGAGAAGGAGAGAGAGAATCCCAAGCAGGCTCCATGCTGTCAGTGCAAAGCTAGACACAGAGCTTGAACTCACAAACCGTGAGATCATGACCTGAGCTGAAATCAAGAGTTGGAAGCTTAGCCAACTGAGCCACCCAGGCGCCTCCTGAGGGGAGCCTTCTTGATTAGCAGAGGTCAATGCCCATGGGGGTGGGAAACAGGATGTAATTGTGTGCTGGTCAGGGGAGTGTTGAGAGAGGCCAGAACATGGAAGCAGAAGCAGTGGGGGAATTGAAGACAGGGAGGAGGTGGGAAGGAAAGCCATACAAGCAGGGGGTATTTGGGAAGGGAAAATGAGGATTTCCAAGGGCGGTTCCTCAAAACACAGATCCTGCCTAGCTCAGATATTACATGGGGAATACTTAGGCTAAAAAACATTAGCTGTTTATCTGAAATTCAAATTTAATTGGTCATCCTATATTTTATCTGGCATCCAGCCTCCAGTTTCTTCATCCCTGCCCCCAATTCATACCTTTCCTGCCGGGTCTCGCCAGAGCCTACTACAGTGGTGGTTTGGGCTTCCTGATTGAGTAATTTTGGAGTTCTGACCTGATAGTGGAATGTGTGGTCACACTGTCTGGGGGCGGGGGGGGGGCAGGGCAGCCCTCCACAGTGGTCAGTCACCCCAGCCTTAGGTCTCTCTCCCTGGCCTGAGAGCCTGTCAGCTGGAGAGATGACCAGATGCTCCCCTTCAGCCATTCCGGGAGACCAGTCCACTCCTCCTTGGGATTCCGCCCCAGCATCTAAACATTCCAGCCACTATCCCATGACTGCCTGCAGCAACAGTGGACTCTAGGACCAGAGCCTTTCTTTCTGTGGAGAAAGACCAAGGAGACCAAGGAGAGAGTTAGCCATCAGGACATGTAAAACAACTCTTGCTCCTTTTCAGAGGTCTTCCTTGAACCCAAAGTGAGCTTCTCAAGCATGGAAACCTGTGTTATTCATTTCCGTTTCTAGCATGGAGTGCAGTACTGGGCATGACATATGTACTCTTAAACATGAGATTGAATTTTGGTTTTAGGTTTAGCCTTTAAAGAAGAGCTATGACTATTATCCCCATTTTACAGGTAAAGAAACTGAGGCAGAGAGGGCTCAGTGATTTCCCTATGGAGAACCTCAGGTACAAAGGAAGATGAGTATCACTCCAGTGCCTCTTCACTTAGGATGGCCTTATGTTCTAGAGGGCCTGGAACCAGAGGTCTGCATAGCACTAGGCTCTGGTTTCCCCATCTGGAAGATGGGACCAATAGCTTGTACTCTGTCTGCATAAGGGTTGTGGCTGGGAATGGTGCACCTGGGTGGCTCAGTCGGTTAAGCATCTGACTTGGCTCGGGTCATGATCTCATGGTTTGTGGGTTCGAGCTTCGCGTTGGGTTCTGTGCTGACAGTGCAGAGCCTGAAGCCTGTTTCAGATTCTGTGTCTCCCTCTCTCTCTCGGCCCTCCCTCCCTTGTTCATGCCCTGTCTGTGTCTCTCTCTCTCAAAACTAAATAAACATTAAAAAAAAATTTTTTTTAAAGCGTTGTGGCTAGGATTGCTGGTAGGAGCTGAGAGAATCAGTGCCTGTGGAAAGGCTGTGCCTGTGCTGAGCACTCCAGGAAGGGCAGGGGTCCCCAGGAGGGAGTCCTCTCAAGGAGGAGCTGGGAAGCACCTTGCCTGGCTTTCTTGGGGCAGAATGACAGCTTCTCACCTCTCTTGCCCTCATCCTGCTCCAGCAAAGATGCAGGCACGATTTCTGAGGCATCATCCTACATGCACTCTGACCAGAGCTCCCTTTGGCACCTTTATTATTATTACTTTTTAATGTTTTTATTTATTTTTGAAGGAGAGAGAGACAGAGCACGAGCCGGGGAGGAGCAGAG